GCTTTTCCCGACTCACGCAGCTGCAGGGGCTGAGGAGCTTAAGGTTGGCAGGCAGTGTAGTGTACTGGCTGTTGACTCCAATGAATGACGAATTCAAGATCTCCAGGCCAAATGGTGGATTGTTTGCTCACAGACAGTTGTAGGCAGCACAACAGAATCCCGATCCACAGAAGAGTGTCTCTTTTCCCAGGATGTCCATAAATACACTGGAAGCAGGCCACACCCCTAAGGAAACTCCCTTCCAATGGATTGGCTGCTCAGAACATATATATCTAATCCCATCATTGGAACAACCCACATCACAATTGCTTAAACCACACAGAATCGTGGTCCAGCTAAGTTGACACACAGCTCCAACTATCACACTGGCAACTGTTTGAGAAGTGGATGGCTTCTTCCAAGTCTGTCTTAGTCCAGAAGCTCCAATGAAACCTGTCCACCATGGGTAACCCTGCTGCCATTTGGAACACCAGTGGCACAGCCTCCAACCTCTAGCAACACATAAGACACCAGAGGACGACAAACTGACAGACAAGATCATTCCCCTTAGTTGTTCCTAAGTGCTCTGTGCCTGCCTACCTTAGGCCCCAACTTTAAAATAAAGTTGCTCCCAAGCAAAAGACAGCCCCAATCCTGGCATCCCAGTTGGTTTAGAGTATTGTTCAAATCTTCTATTTCCTTGATCTTCTATCTACTTGTCTTATCCATTATTGAAAGTTGTGTAATGATATCTGCAACAATTATTACTGAATTGACTATTTCTCCTTTCAGTTTCATGGCTGAAAACACCATGGACTGAGAAAAGAACAAATTTGTCCCGGAGGAAGTACAGCCGGAGTGCTCCTTGGAAGTGAGAATGGCCAGACTTTGTCTCACCTACTTTGGTCACGTTTTCAGAAGGGACCATTCTCTAGGGAAGGATGTCATGTTTGGTAAAGCGGAGGGTCAAGGAAAAAGGGGAAGGTCCTCAACAAGATGGCTTGACAGTGTAGCTGCAGCAATGGGCTCAGATGTAGTAGGGATTGTGAGGATGGCACAGGACCAGGTGGTGTTTTATTCTGTTGTATGTAAGGTTGCTATGAGTCTGAGATGACTCAATGGCACAAATCAACCAATCTACCTTTCAGTTTTGTCAGGTTTCATTTCAGAATTCTGACAGTGAAATCAGAGTGCCATCACTATCCGTGGACTCCATTGTGAGGTGTATGTTTATAACTTTTATTTTCTTGATGGACACTTTTGTCATTATAAAATGACTCTCTACTAACAGTTTTTGCTTCAGTCTATTTTTTTTTCTGGTATTACATGTACAACCCGCTAGTAACTGTGCTTGCATGGTGTATCTTTTTCATTCTGTTATCTTTGAATCCAAAGGGGTCTCCATGTAGAAAGCATAGCGTGATCTTGTTTTTATATCCAGTCTGACAATAATTGTCTTATTATTAAATTGATTCACATTTAATATTATTATTGGTATGGTTGGATTTACGTCAGTAATCTTAGCTTTTATGTATCTCTTACCATTTTGTTCCTCTGCTCCTCCTTTACTGGTTTATTTTGCATTAAAGAATACTTCCAGTGTAACAATTTAACCCATTTAATGATTTTTTTTCCAGTATGTTTGTTTCAATTATTTTCTTAGTGGTTACTCTAAGACTCACAGTATATTTCTTGGCAGAATCTACTTCAGTTTTATACTAATTCCAGTGAAATAACAGAATGTTACTCCTATATAGCTCTCTTCTCTCCTCTCTTTATGTTAATTACTATATATATATTGCTTCTTTGTATGTTACAACTTAATAATTGTTATTATCTGTAATTTTACAACTCTTAATGAAAAAATATTCTGAATATTAACCTTTTTATTTACCCTTTTTTGTTCTCTTCATTTCCTTCTGTAGAATATCCTTATTTTGATACAACTTTCTTTCCACCCACTTGCTTTCTGGTGTTACTGTTACAAGTACACATTTCTGTATTACAGGAACAGTAGAAATATGTAATATTGTTTTATACAATTCCTTTTTAAGTCAGTGAATAAAGGAAATAATAGGTAATTACAATGTCTTTTATAGTTTCCTACATAATTGCCTTTATTTACAAGCTTGCCTTCAACCTTAATAACTTCCTTTGTTTCTTCTAACTCAGGTTTCCTTGGAATGACTTTTTTTTTTTTTTAAATTATGAGAATGTCTTTGTCTTCATTTCTGAAAATTAATTTTGGTGGATATATTTTGGATTTTTCTTTCAGCACTGTCATCCCATTGCTTTCAGGCCTGTAGTTTCTTGTAAGAAAACTATTGATCTTAATTGGGTTTCCTTTCACCTTAGTGGTTTTTCTCTTGCTGTTTTCAAGACTTTGTTTTTTGCCATTTTTACAAGACATGTCTAGGTGTGGACATTTTTTTATCATAGTTGGAATTTTCTGATCTTTCTGGATGCGTAGATTGTTTTTCATCAAATTTGGGAGTTTTCAGCCTTTATTTTTTAGTAATTTTTCTGCCTTTCTCTCTTCTGCTTCTGGCACTTCAGTCACACACATGTTGATACCTACTTCTTTGAAATTCTATTTTTCTTCATTTTTTTTTTTCTCTAGTTCCTGGGATTGCATAAGGAGCTTTGGAGGTGTAGTGGTTAAGGCATTTGTGTACTAACTACAAGGTCAGCAATTCAAACCCACCAGCCACTTTGCAGAAGATAGATGAGGCGGCAGTCTGATTCCATAAAGATTTACAGCCTTGCAAACCCAGTGGGGATAATTAAATAATTATTTAAATAATTGAGTTGGCATGAACTCAATGGCACCGAGTTTGGTTTTAGTCAGATTTCATAATCCTTACTAACCAGCAAGTTTCTTGGTCTTTCTATAGCCAGTTAAAATCTGTTGTTGAGCCTTTCCAGTGAATTCTGGTTATCTACTGTGGTTACTGATTTTTTTAAAATTGCAAAATTTCCATCTTTTTTTTTTTTAAAAAAGATAACTTCCATCTCCTGAATGAAGTTCCATAGTTGACAGAATACCGGTATGTAGCCCTTAATGTTCAGGCTGTCAGTGGTCCCACAAGGCTATTAAGAGAGTTCAGAAATCCTGACAGGATAACAGGTAGTAGTGGAAGTACTTTGCTAAGTATGCCAATTTGATTTCTCACTCGTTCTCCAGGTCATGAATCTACCAAGGCCCTGGGGCGGCAGGGGGAACGGATGCCCATCCACAGTTGCCTGTTCCCCACAGCACTTGCCTCAAGCATGGACTGTGCATGCTGCCAGAGGCACCAAGGGTAATGCCTCACTGAGGCTGCTGCCCAACTTGGCCTGGGTACCCTTCATGTGATGCCCAGGTGCAGCACCACGGTTCCTCCTATGGTGGGTGGGCTGTGGAAGTCATGGGAGAAGCAGGAAAGGTGGCCAGGGGAGAAGGCAAATGTGGACGTAAATGAGGGGTGGGTAGGTTCTGTAAGAGTTAAGTCTATGGGGGTGGGCAGGCAGGCAGAAGGAAAGGGAAGGGAGCTGGTGGTGGGGGGTCAGGAGGCATACAGCTAGATGGCAAGTGAGCAACATGGCAGACAGCTGCTTGATATGGCTTCTGGAGATCAGGTGGTGACTACAGGGCTGGCAGTGGCAGAGCCAAGGTTTTCACACAATCCTTCAGTGTGGCTGTGGTGGCGCAGGTGCTGGGTCCACCCACTACCCATCTTGTGTGCCTCTGTCCTATACATATGAGGTTCACACGATGCCCACATCACATCTCTCAGAATGTATACAGACGTTATGTATATTTGTTTTGCCATTATACCTTCCTTTAATTCAACTTCTGTTAGTCTTTTTGTTTAGTTGTTTGAAGTCTTTAGGAGCCATGGTGGCACAGTGGTTAAAGCACTTGGATGCTAACCAAAAGGTCTGCGTTTATACTGCTCTAGAGAAAGGGGGAGTCTAATTCTGTAAAGATTTACAGCCTTGGAAAACCTATAGGGCATTTCTACTCTGTCCCATAGGGTTGCTATGAGTCCCAATCTATTCAATAGTAGTGGGTTTAGTTTTGGGGGAGGTTTGTGTCTTTGTTCCTATATCCAACATCTTTGTTGCCGTCTGCTGTCGAGTTGATTCAGGTTCATTAATGTGTCTCCTCTTGATTGTTCACCAAAATCTCCACTATTTTCAGGACTACCTATAAGCATGAATTTCCCCTCCCTCATTCTGTTCTAAACAAAATCAGTTCTCTCAGAGTATACAATGGCTTGCCTCTCCCATGGGGCAAAACCTGTGCACTATCGCTCTAGAAACTGCAGTAGAAATATTAGCTGCTTCTCTCAGGAGTGATACCCCTGATCTGTAAGTAGAGTGCTGGGTAGTGACCCCTAGTCTGTTCTGCTTGACCTTCTTTGCATGGAATTTCCACTCTGAGTGAGCCAGAGAAAGGCAATTGGGATCCAATATCTGGTCTGTCAGGCATGGGACAGAGCTTCTGGCCTACAAGTGGGGACCGTGTGAGGAATGGAGCTTCTGCAACACTGAGTTGGGAGAAGTATGAGGAATGCTAGCAGTCTGCTCTTCCCAGGGAAAAAAGTATAGTCCTCACTGGGAGCTACACAGAAAGGGAACCCTGTGTTATGGGCTATACTTGCCTAGAATAGTTTCCATTTCACTAAGCTGGGAGACAGGGGGCAGGAGGTCATGGCTTAAATGCCACAGACTCTCAGCTCTTACCAAGATTTAGTGTATTTTCTTTAATGTTTTTCTGTTTGCTGCATGCTCTTATGACAATTTCCAAAGACTTTATTGCCTTTTTTTTTTTTTAAAATAACTTTTACAAGTTTTAGCTGTTTCACTAGCAGAGAGTCTACAACCTCCTTATGCTACCATTCCAGAAATGTAACCTGATTAGTTTTTAATGTATGTCTTAAAATATACTCATGACACCCTTTAAACAAGGTGGTATGTTCACAACCTGAAATAGCTCTCTGCTGCAATCAGTTGATTTAGCATCAACATAGAGCATAAATAAATATGCAGCTCTCTAAGAGTTACTTAAAAATATTCTAGAAATGAAATGTTTAAAATGAATTTACAAGGACAATATGTTATACCAGTAAATGTTACTTGACTTCTTGTATAAAGTAAATAATGTTGCTTAATAATTAGTCCTGGAATACTTTGTTAAATTTCTATTACCAGTTCAGTATATTAAAAAGATATATGTGAACAATATAAAAACTAAGAATAATATTGTGATAAAATCAATCTCAAAAACAAAGAATTCAGACCCTTCCCATAAAAGAACTCAAAATTTCCCTCACCTCAAACAATCTCCACAGAGAAAATATCAAAGATGTATTTCAAGGTGATGCAATGGTATAAAACTCCAGAATGTGAGCATCAGGTGAACAATGTATCGAAACCAACATAATTTAGAAAACACATCTAAATCTGAAATAGGCAGAAATCAAAATATGATTTACAAAGAGTTATAACTGTGCTCTAATCATCATCAGAGTCTGAATCATACTTCTTTCCTCGGATAGTTTTCTTTTCCAGCTTTGTGAAGTTTGTTCCAAATTTCTTTTGGCTCTGAAATGGTGGCTCCATTAAATTTCCACTAAAAATAAAGCAAATTTGAGAAGCATTTTACTCTTTATGATTTAGTACAGCTGGTAAACTAAACTAACATAAACCTATCTTTTCTTCACCTTACCTAAAATTTCTTTTAAAATGTTGACATTAGGGAAGAGGTATAATATTCATGTTGATGGTTAATAGTTATACATCGTATTTTATACTAAATGTTTTAAATCAATGTTTTACTTTCCCTTTTATCATTAATGACTGATAACTATTTTCACGGGATGTGCCAACAGAATTTCTGACCAAAAAGTATAGTAGTAAATAAGCATGCTATGCTGTTGCTGATAGCCTGTTATGACCAGCTTGACCTTTCCTTTTTTTTCAAACATCATGTAATGTTAGATCTCTACAGACACTAACAAAACTTGTGGAATTCATTATCCTTAACTTGGAACTGATGTTTGATGAAGAAAAATAAAATGAGATCTTTGTTTAAAAGTATGTTGGGAACTATTTGTAGCACCCAGATTTTAGTTTCCAAATACCATCTGCCACTGAGAACCATGGCTCCTTAGAGAATTGACAATTCCAGGGAGAGTATGGTACAAATCCCCTTAAAACATCTTGTATCTATCAGAAAGAAACTGCTCAGAGAATTGTGGGGACATGTCAAAAAGACAAAGAGATCAGCTTAAAGGGAGCTCTCATGACCAAGTGTGAAATAATTTGAGCTTCAAAGTAAATAATAATAGCAAAAGACTATAACCTAATGAATAAAATAATCCGTAACTCGTATGGAAAGAAATAAATGTGGGAGATGAAAAAATTCATCATTAAATCACCATTTGGTCTGGAAGACAATTGGTTAAACCAGTACTCAAAATAATCACTACTAGAAATGAAACAAACTGACATTATATGCCTCTGATATGATGTACTGAGAAGGCTACAACATCACTTCTATCATTAGCTCACCAAAAATGCAAATCTGATATAATTTTAAGGTAACACTCAAAACCCAAAGCAACCCACTGTTAAAGAGTCAATTCCAACACATATCAACCCTATAAGACGGAGTAGACCTGTTTCACATGGTTTGCAAGGCTATAAATCTTTACAGAAGCAGCCTGCCTCATCTTTCTCCCCTGGAGTGGCTAGTGGATTTGAACTGCCAACCTTTTGGTTAGCTGCCCAATGCTTTAACCATTGTGCCACCAGAGCTCCTTAATTAAAGGCTGTTCTACAAAATAAGGCTGTGGTTGTTAGTTGCCTTTCAGTTAATTCTGAACTAGTCTGTACTTTTAAAAAGCGTCAAAGTCTTGAAAAACGAAGAAGGGTGGTATATTGTTCCAAGTTAATGGAAACTAAACACACCAATAATTAAATGCTACAGATTTCTTTGATGTGAAGGACATTATTGGGACAACTGGCAAAATTTGAATAAGGCCTGTAGATTAAACTATAATAAAGTTACCAATGCTAATTTCCTGTGTAATAATTGTACTATGGCTATGTAAGATCATGTTCTTAATTTTAGAATTATGTATGTGAAAGCAGTTAGGAGTAAAGGGACCACGACATATATTAACTTCCACTCAGGTGGTCTGAAAAAAATTAATATGTATATAGATAGAGAATGACAAAGCAAATATTGTGAAAAGTTTAAAACTGGGGAATATGGGTGAAGGATATATGGGAATTCCTCGTACTAGGTTTGTAACTTTTTAAAGTTTGAAATTATCTCAAAATAATTTTATTTAGTAAGTATTAGTATTTTATATTATAAAAAAAAAGTCCAACACTTTTAATTTCTACAATGCAGGTTTAGGTATGTCTAGAAGGAATGCACAGAGCAAGGGGAATGGAGCATGGCAAGAGAAAAATGACAGAACTTTCTACTATAACTCAGGAGCAACTACTGCACAATTTTACCTGTTATTTTTATAAATCAAGAATAGGCATGAAACATAAGATATTATGCTCTCATTATAGAATCACAGATAACACATTTATCTGGAGAAGCGGGTAAAGAGATGAACGACAATGGAAGCTGGATTTCAGGTTTGTTTTCAAACTGAAATTGTTCCCCTTAGTAAGTTATTCTAAACCAAGCACAGACATTTTCTTAATAAAATTTATCAGATTCTGCAACTCAGACAGGAAAAGCTACATTAAAAATGTTTTAAAATATAAGGAGCTCTGGTGACATAGCGGATAAGGCATTTGGCTGCTAACCAGGTCAGTGGTTCAAACGCAGCAGCCACTATGCAGAAGGAAGATGGAGCAATCTATTTCCATAACGATTTACAGCCTCAGAAACCCTATGGGAGTTGCTATGAGTGGGAACTGACTCGATGGCAGTATTTATTTATTTATTTTTCCTGTAGTAGTGTGCTTTTAATTTTTATTTCACCAAAGAGAATCATTTAAGTTGAAATCCATTTGCATAATCTACTATTATTGGGAAAGACATCTGGAGTGTCATTTTGGATTTCTAAATTAATACAGAATTAGTTCAATAAGATCTACTGGGCTGGAAACTCTTATAGTTAGCTACACTCCAAGTCTCAGTTTTAGCTATACATTGGATTTGATTCCCATTAATTCTTGCTGTAAGGTCATGCTACTAATGCATGCTTTAAAAGATATGCTTTTCCTTCAAGACCTGTACCTCACACCATACACAAAAACAAACTCCAGATGGATCAAAGACTTAAATGTGAAACCTAAAACTATACAGTTCCTCAGGGAAAATATAGGGACAAATTTAAGGACCCTAATATATGGCATAAATAGACTATCAAGCATAACTCAAAATGCACAAACAGCAGAAGAGAAACCAGATAATT